ACACATAAGTTGAGAACTAAGGCCTGAACTGAGTGTGCTTCCTTACCGGTCAGATGAAGTATGGCTGTCGTGCTCAGCCATACTTTATGTGCACACCTGGAGGTCTAGCATCAACATCAGTTCCCATCTCCCAGGGTTCTGATGATTCCACAACAAAAAATGGCCTGCAGCTAGCTGTGGGCAGACTGGCTCTGAACGCCACCACAGCGCTCTCTCTTCAGCCTTCACTTCCTGTGCTTTGAACTGGCCACCTCTGTGAAAGTTAATCCTTAATAGCAGAACTCCGTCCCGCCTAACCTTTGTGTTTGCTCGGAATTTTCAAAATTGTACACATGTTCCCCTTTACATGTCATAATATATGTATAGGTATATATGCATAAATATTTGCACACATATATTTCATATATGGTACCATCATGCACATTTAATATAATGATTTCTGTATTTTCTTTTTCATGTGTATGTGAGTCCTTGCAAGTTTGTCTGTTCACCGTCTGCATTTTGGTGATTTGGAGGTCAGCAGAGGAGGTGTGTGTGTGTGTGTGTGTGTGTGTGTGTGTGTGTGTGCGCGCGCGCACGCACAGGCACCTGTCCTGTAGTGTATCGTCATGACAGGACCACTTACTGAGTCAGATCCCTCCTTCCACAGTGTGGGCCATGGGTTTGAGCTGAGCCATCTTCCCCACCCTTCTGGTACTCAACTGTTCTTTTTCCTACAAATGTGCGTTAGTTCCTTTAGGATGCTGTAACAACAGTGCCAGACCAGGCTCAAATAACCGGCGTTGATTTCTCACAGCTCCGGAAGCTAGGAAGTTCAAGGGAAAGCATTGTGTGTGTGGTGAGGGCCGGCTTCGTGCTCACAGAGGCTGTGCTGTTGCTGCTGTTGTGCCTTCACATGGCAGAAAGCAGGAGAATGTTTGCTGGATTAAAGGCACGCACCACCATCACGTCTAACCTTAAAGATGTTGGAAAAGGAATTTTTATTTCTATGTCTTTCACCTCTAAAGTTTTAAATCAGAGCCTAGTGCCTATATGCCCGTGTGCCGCTTGCCTCCTGGCTTTTAAACAATCCCATCTGAACTCACCTCTGAGTTCCAAGTCCAGAAGCTGCGACAGTGACATGTTAGCACCACAGCAGCCTCTCTGATGGGAAGGATGTCTTCCGGAAGGCTGGCTTGGGAGCTGGTCTTTCTTTGATAATGTCTGCACCTATTTGCAGCTAGACTCAGCTGGCCATGACTTCTCTTCTCCAGGTGTAGAGAGGCTTCTCTCTCCTTCAGTGTGGCAAGAACCTGAATTTCTAGGCATCCGAGCTCAAGCCCTTCACATGAGCTCAAGCCCTTCAGATGCAGGCCTCACCCTTATGTGCATTTGTGGTATTTTCTTGCCTGTGAGAACAATGTGTGTGGCTGACTGCTTTTTTCCTGCAGGGTTACATTACAAAGATTCTTAGCCATGCCCTCACATTTCCTTCAGCAGTGTTTCTGAGGTGAGATTTACTATTTCCCTCCTCACTTCTTGTATTTATCTTTATTTTGCTAGAACAAAGCAGAAAAGAGCTGTGCAAAAATTTGTCATGTTATTTCTTAAATACTAAATTTTTAATACCAAACTACAGTTATGTCTCTGGGTAGTGCTTAAGGGTCCATAATAATATACGTTTACTTGACTTTTGCTCCTCAGATCTGACCCTGAAATAACATTTGGCGATTACAGCAATAATGCCCAACCTAATTTTCAACTTGTGTCTAACAAAGATGCAACTAAAGTCCCAGAACGAGCACAGGTTTCTTGCTTAGAAGCAGGGTCCACGGCCTTAGCAAAACCCCCATTGTACAGGCTGCACTGCTTCTCTTTGTAGCCTGTGGATAAGTTACTACTTGCCGTATGTTTATTGTAATCTTGCATCTCTTCAGAACACGCCGCTCCTGTCTTTTATTGTGTTCTGTAAATTGGGCACTCGGTATGTCGTTCCTGCTAGAGCATTTATTGTATGTTTTATGGTCCTTATGAGACCTATTGTCTTTCATTATTTTCCTCCTTTCTTTTATCTCTGCCAATTATAAATTGCTTTAGAGTTTTGTCTGCTTTCTTTAATTATATGCTTTGCACTGGGAGGTTTCTACTGTATTCTGCAAGTTATTAGCCTCTTGCAGCACAGATGCTGAATCTTCTTTGTGTCTTGAGTTCCTCTTGTCTTTTTCCTAATCACAATTTTATCTCCGACTTGGATTCAGAGATCATAAACCTTCATAAATGGCTTAGGAATGCCAAAGTCAAATTCTATACTTACTCCCCCTTTTCACTCTTGAGGATATACCTGAAAACTGATTTCTTACTGTGGCTGGTCTTGAGAGTTAGATGAGTGATTGAAGCAGGGCGATTGATTGTGTGGTTAATACGTGGTTTAAGAACTCTGGCTCTCACGTGCTTTAATCCCAGCACTTGGGAGGCAGAGGCAGGTGGGACTTTTAGTTTGATGCCGGCTTTAAAGGGCCAAGGATGCGATGGAGATGATGCTGGCTCTAAAGGCGGAGGATGGGCTGGAGATGATGCTGGCTCTAAAGGCCGAGGATGGGCTGGAGAGGTGGCTCAGCAGCCGCGTGTGCACTGCTCTTGCACGTGACCTGAGTTCACAGCCATGTCAGTGTTCACAGCTGCTCTGAGCCCAGCGGCAGTGGTCTGCTGGGTCTGCAGGTACCCTAGCACACATCCCTGGCCCTTAGGCACAGGGGCACACATAGAATTAAAGACAAAATAGACATTTTACTGTAAGATGAGCTCTGGCTTTAGAGCTGGGTTTCCTGTGTTCAAACTCTCGCTCTATCATATACCAGCTGTGTGCCTTTGGACAAATTTATTTATTTATTTATCTATTTATTTATTTATTTATTTTTCTTATTGGTTACATTTTGTTTACTCTGTATCATAGCTGTACCCCGCTCCCTCTTCTTACCACTTCTGTATCCTATATTCTGGTTTAGCTTGTGCTTCCCCTCATTGCAATACTGAAATCCTAACCCTAATCACTCAGTACATAAGTTCTTGAAGTGTAATTAGCTCATATTAGAAAACAGAAGGTCCCCAATCCATTATGCAAGGCGTGTTAGCCTACTTCCTGGCACTATAACAGAATTCCACAGTCTGGGTTAATTGTAAACAATAAAGGTTTATTTTGTTTATGGGTTCGAAGGCTAGAAAGTCCAAGAGCGTGGCCCTCTGGCAAGGGCCTTTGTGCTGTATCACAGCATAGTGACGGGGTCGGGGGGGAGGGCAGCGTGTGAGTATGCTTCAGACAAAGGAGGGAGAACATTCTTTTTGAGAAAATGGCTTCCATAGCCACTCACCCCTCAGTCACACCCCTAACCCATCCACGTGCTCAGAGCCTTCATGACTACCTCCACTAGAAACTGGATTTCAGCATGGGTTCCCGAGAGACATTAAACCATAGCAAGTGATGTCCATAGAACCAGAAGTCTAGACGTGGCCAGTGCACACATATGAAGGTGATGGCAAAGATGGAGGAAGCAGTTCTGCTAACATCTGCAGTTTAGAGCTGGGGACAAGGAGTTTGTAGCGTTTATGGGTCCAGACTGTCATCCTGCCTTACAGTAGCCTGAGCATTTAATGAAAGTAGCATCCATTAAATCAGGTTGTTTTGAGGTTTTCATATGTCATTATTCATAAAGTTCTTAGGGTAGTGTTTGACATAGAACAAGTACTAACAATATTAATTAGTGTGTTTATTAAGGGCTAATTATGTACCATATGCCTTCCTAAATGCTCATCTTTTATTAGCTAGATCTACAAAGTTGTGAAGACAGAGGTACAGTAGCCTGCATATACTCATAAAATAGGGATTCCTTCATTCTTCTCCTGTAAGTCACTGCTTCAAGTTAAGCTGGTAATAGTTGAGGTGCTGTAACTGAAGCCATAGCCACCATCTGCTAATGTTTCCCACACAACGAAGCTGTTGGAGGTTCTGTGTTGTCCTCTCCATCAGGCTTGACACTTCTGTGACTGTTTAGTTTCCCACAACTTCTTATGAGTTTGGGCAAAGACTTTGCAATGGCTTCACTGAGCCAGTGCAGACAGGATCTCAACTCATTTGTAGTCTGATGGAGGTAGATGCTGGGGCAGCTGTAGTCTCATGAGCCTTTCTTCCCTTTGGCATCTCTGTGTGGCTGAGTTGGGCTCCCTTTCCAAATGGTTGCCTCCAGAGAGGCGGGCCTCATATATGGTGGCCCTGAGCCGACATCCCTAGGGCATAGGAGGAAGAACAAATGCTCTCCTTGAGCACCCTGAACTTGCAGTCTAGGAATGACAGAGGAAGCTCCGCTGCCAGATGGGAAATCTCAACTGAACTCTAGCTTTTACTCCCTGTTAAAAATCAGGGCTGTGCTTTTGGGGATTGCGCTGGTGATGTTTTGAGACATATAACGATTGCAGTATTTGAAAAGGATTTTACAGCTTCTTTGAGAAAATAAAAATGAGTGTTCTGTGTATTCAAACGTTTTTATACTTTTTATTGCTGTGCAATACAAAAATTCAAGGGAAGGATTTGTAAAACAAGTAGGTGAAGGGCAAACAAAATCTGAAAATCCACTGTGATGTTTTTATTTTATTTTATACTAATGGCAAATGCTACCTAGCTCTTCTTTTCTGCTAAGCTAAAAGATCAGAATTTTGAGGAAAATATGTATTTTTCATATTTTCTCTTCTTATGAGAGTAATAATTACCATGATAGACTTCAGGTCTCGGATGTCTCCAAAGCAGAGTGAAGTCGGCAACACGGACGCTTACTTGTCCACTTGATCAAAGGGTGTACGGTCTCCTGTGAGGAGGTGTGTCCTCATGTCACTGCACGGTTCTCAAAACGCCAGCACACATCACCAGGGCCACACTGGGGGCTCCGGATGTGCCCGTGCTAAGAACTACGCTCCACGAGGGGAGGCTGGGGCTGGTGGCCTGATCAGCACTGTGTCCGTCTGTCTTGCAGGTCCTCCACTCCTTTACGGACGCCATCTTCGACGAGTGGCTGAGAAAAAACAACCCTCCCACAGATGCCTGGCCCCAGGAGCTGGCACCAATCGGTCACAATCGGATGTATAACATGGTTCCCTTCTTTCCACCAGTGACTAATGAGGAACTCTTCTTACCCGCAGACCAGCTTGGCTACAGTTACGCCGTTGATCTGTCAGGTAAGAACAGTTCTAAGTGGCTGACTCACTCAGCTTCTAAGAGAGCTTTTGCCCTCTCTCTGTCTTCTTAATGTAAAGCAAGACTTTACATTAAAGTTAATTGAAGCATTCAGGCCGAGTTAAGTTTATTGGCTGTTTTTGTGAATACCTCAGATTTAACAAGATAAGTCATTAAGCTACCAATTAGACAGCAGAAAGGGGCTGGCTGTGGACCATTTGGGAACACTAAGTTGTTCAGGGATATCATTCTACAGAGGCCCTGTCTACTCTTTTGCTTGATTTGACAGTTTTCATCTGAACTATTCAGATCCATGAAAACTTCCCCATGGCTATTGGAATATGTCACCAATGAAGTCAAAGTGACTTTTACTCTCATGTGTGGACAAGGATCTTGGAGTGATCTCATTTGCAGGCAGAGTTGGGATTAGTAAGACAAGCCTGAGATTGCCACAAGCTACGAAGACCAGGCAATAGCCGTTGTGGAAAGTAATAGAGCATAGCATTGTAGAAGATTGTTATTAGTGCTGTAAAGCCTTCGGGAACATTCGCCACCATGGGTTTAAAGGTCAGATGTTGTTTATTTGTTTGGCATTACTTTGCAACTACACCAGGTGTTTTGAATCATCCTTGACTGCACTAATGTGGTACGGACAGGTTTACCCAGGATGACATTGAGCCTCAAACTAGGCTGCACTCAGGTTATGACGTTTTCAGATCCATGCTTCCTCACTCTTTCAAACTGTAGATAATTGAAAAACTGACTTCAGCTGGTTGAAAATAGGAAAGGTTATCTTTATTAGTACACATGGACACCGTTTTCTCTTTTGAACAGGTCCCAATATAGCTTCACAGATTCTCCACAGAATCTCAGGGAAGAAAGGAGAGATAAAACAGAGATATTGTAATGTGTTGAGGAGCTTCAGAATAGAACCTGCTGTTGGCCTCCTCCCACCTGTGTCTGTCACAGCCCTTATTCTTAGCCCACAAGGTGACCGAGATGACTTCAGAGCGCCTCTTGTTGCTCTCCAACATGAGAAGCTCTTAGGTACTGGCATCTGTCTGGTTTCCCTTCTGCTTGGCACTGGCTGCTTCCTGTTCTTATTAATTTGGGAGGCATCCTTTTAAAACTTCCTTCTCTTTGCTCTTGGATTAAGCCTAATGACAGTTAAAAGATTTGGGCACCCAGTTCTGCCCTTATTCCCCATGTCCACCTGTCAATTAGCAGATATCATCTAAGTACCAAATATGCCTAAATCTAAATATGCCTAAAATCTATCAACTCACCAGATGATACCAAACCATGGAGGCTGATTGATTTGGCCATGAACTGCATACTTCTGCTTGGGGGAATGTAAGCAAGGGATGTTCTTGTCTTCAAACTTCTATGCTCATTGGTGGTCAGCAGCCCAGACTGACAAAAGAAAGATTAACAGGAGAAATACGATGCTCTTCTTTATATGGCATGGGGCTCTTTCTCGGGCACAAAGGAAGACCCGTAGAGGCCAATGGCCCGGGAGCTTAGATACCACTTGAAGCCAGGAGTGAGAAAACACGGAGATGTGACTGCACAGAGAACAAACGGCTTGCCTCTGAAAAGTGGCGAGCACTGGAAGGAAATCCGTGGGGAAGCAATGGCAGATAAAGCTATTTTTGCAAGTCTCTGCAGTTTTGTGCTTTCACAGATGACAATTTCCCCTGGGGGGTGGATTTCTCGCAGTCCTTGTTTCTTTTGGGTTTCTGCCTTTAGTCAGCCAAGAAAGCTCTACAAGGCAACATTTGCTGAATGTCAAATGCCTTTATCTCGAAATGACCCTCTATCTGCAGGCTTGTGGGTAGAGATACTTGGATCCTCTTCCGACCAAGGGGAGGAAATGGTGAGGGACTCGGGAAAGACTTTGGTGTGTGACAGCTCTAAAGCTGGACTTGAGGGGCCTGGTAGCCGCCAAGTCGCAGAGCAGGTGTTTCAGACTGAAGGAGAGATGGGCGGGGAGTGCACAGGTGGCTTAACTGAGGGCCGGAGGAGGAAGGCTTGATCCCTGAGTGCAGCGTGTTGGCAGGCTGAGTGCGGTCAACTACAGCGAACCAAGCAGTCTGGGATGCCTCCAGAATACTTTTAATTTCTCCGGAAAAACTGCCTAGACTTTCCGTAAGTAAGTTAGTCTTCAGCGCCAACCAGATGGCTCTTCTGCAACTCTCCTGTGTTCATGGACTTGGATGCCTTTTCTTCTGCTGACACACCTGTGCTTGGTCTGTTTCTTTTATGGGTTCCAGTAGTCCTAGTTTCAGAGTGTGGGAAGAAATTCCTTTGTCCCCTCCCCCTGCTGGGCTGGAAGGGCCTGGGCAGAGACCCCGGGACTCACGGAAGCATAGGAATCACCGCACATTCATTATAACATCTCAGTTTGTAAAACAAGAAATGTTCTGTAGACAATGGGAATGACAGGCACAGACAAAGGTGAAGGTGCTGTAATACCACCAAACTGCATTAAAAATAGCTGTGATGGTACGAATCTGTATTATATGTATGTTAACACAATTTTTTAAAGGTGAACAGGATTTGGGCAATAAGAGGCAGTCATTTTGAGAGCCTCATTAAGGAAACGGCAGAATGAAAATCTGCAGTTTGTTGGTTTGTTTTGGGGACAGGATCTCGGCGTGTTGCTCTGGGTGTCCTGGAGCTTGCTCTATTCTTTGCAGACCAGGCTGTCCTTCAAACTCACAGAGGTCTGCCTGCCTCTGCCGCCCAAGTGCTGGGGTTCAAGGTGTGTGCCACCATGCCTGCCAAAACTACTGGTTTTAAGAAGTGTCCAAATGGGTCCTCTAAAAAGGGGAACAGGGACTATTTCTGACATGAACTCAATGGTGCGCTCTTCGACCCACCCCCCCCCCCCCCCCCCCCCCCCCTGAGGGAGGAGCAGCCTTGCTAGGCCACAGAAGAGGACATTGCAGCCAGTCCTGAAGAGACCTGATAAGCTAGGGTCAGATGGAAGGGGAGGAGGACCTCCCCTAGCAGTGGACTTGGAAAGGGGCAGGGAGAAGATGAGGGAGGGAGGGTGGGATTGGGAGGGAATGAGGGAGGGGGCTACAGCTGGGAAACAAAGTAAATAACCAGTGATTAATATAAAAAATAAATAAATTAAAAAAAAGTGCTGTAACTAGGTTGGGGATTTAGCTCAGTGGTAGAGTGCTTGCTTAGCAAAGGCAAGGCCCTGGGTTTGGTCCTCAGCTCTGGAAAAAGCAAAAAACAAACAAATAAACAAACAAACATACAAACAAAAAAAGCTGCAACCAGCTCACAAAAGACCTGCACAAGATCATTCAAGAGCTTCACAACATGAAGCCAGTCTGCAGGTTTACACTGAGCCGGGTAGTCTCATAACCGAGGTATTGTTGACAGTCGATAGATTCTGACGAAGAGAGAGAGCGAGTCTTCTTTAAGAATGTGAACCCTGATAGGTGTGCCATGCTCCAGAGGATGAGCCCATGTCCAGGAGTATGACCATCACAAATTGGACCCAGGATCTTATTAAAAAAAGAACATGAAGCTGGGTATGTGTGGGTGAGTGGAGGGTGGATCTGAAAGGAGCTAGGAGAAAGGCTGGAAGATAAATTCTAAAACACAATGCAAGAAATAAAGAATTAATAAAACATTACATTATGAAAAGAAACAAGTTCTAAGTAGTAACAGGTGCTCCTAGGTCCTCCAGGAAAGGAGAGAGAAAATTCTGTTGGAGGGATACAGTCAAGACGGCCTGGCAGGCGTGGGCCTGGAGAAGGGCGAGAAGGTGATCTGTCATTTAGATGAGGGTCAGGTGCGGATAGACAAGACGGAGCGGAGGGAATGATCTCCTACAGCAGCTGATATGTTAAAGAAACGTCACACGGACATAACTATTTTAAAAATACATTATTTTCCTGCACAGTGCTATCAAGGGTGGGCGGAAGATTAGATTTCCTGACTGAATCACCGTGGGAGAGGCTTAGGTTGTACTCACGACCGTTCGAACGGATACAAAGAGTCCGCATGTGCTGCTGAGGGCTCCTTTCAGGAGAGCCCACCACAGGGTAGGGACAACAGCAGAATTTCCTACTGAGGGTTGTTCACTTAGCAGAAACACAAAGATCATCCTAGTGTTCGTGTCTACATGAGTTTCTAACTTATTAAAGCAGTTAAGCGTTTCCTTAGAGGTTTTGTTCAGCATCTAATCATTTATTGTAACAGATTTACAAAATGCAATAAATAACCGCTTCCTTGGGAAACAGTTGTGGATATGATAAGCAGTGAGTGAAAGAAGATAAAATTCTAGCAAAGGGCAGTTTTGTTTTGCAAACAAGTATATATGAGAAAGGGAAGAGTTTTAGAGGAGTGTTTGGCTGAGGGACTCATAACCGCAGAACCTGCTTATCTGCTTTTGTTTCAGTGCAAGAAGCTCCAGTTTGGACCACAACCCTCTCGGTGGTCACCGGAACACTGGGAACTTTCTTCTGTGTCTTGGGGCTGCTGGCTTTCCTCCAATACAGGAGGCTTCGAAAGGGATACGCACCCTTAATGGAGACGGGTCTAAGTGGCAAGAGATACACAGAGGAGGCCTAGTGTGCCCTGGGGAGGAGGCTGCCCAGTCCTGAGCTAGGCAGTCACTCAGCACGTGCTCACTGACCTTGGTGAAATTCTCCAACATGTGCCGCCCAACAGAAGTTACTTAGCTGTAGTTGCTGCTTTGCTTATTACACACACACACACACACACACACACACACACACACACACACACGCAAAATGCTTGGGTCTGTCACCATCATCAAAGTAAGATGTGGCTAGTTATCTATGACCTTTGATTAAAAGCACTTATGCTGATGAAGTGTCTTTCTGTTCTTAAAGCACCTCCAGCCACCACCACCACCACCATCACCACCACTTCCATTACCACCACCACCACCACTGTGCTCATCACTACCACCACTTCCATTACCACCATCATCACCACCACCACCATCATCACCACCATTGTCATCACCACCATCACCACCATCGTCATCACCACCATCACCACCACCACCACTACTTCCATTACCACCATCACC